GACTGAGTTGGACTTGCTCAGTCCCAGCTTGCACTGTGGTGGTCCAGGAGCTACCCCTGCTGCAATTCAAAATGCAATAGGAGCTGGGCTGCCAGCCCACCCTGCTCTTACTACATTTAAACTCCAGAGCCACAGCAGGAGTAGGTCCCAAACCAAGCGCAAGCTCCTTCCCTTATCAACTAATCATGTAGTTGATAGAATTTTTATCAACTACATGATTAGCAAAATACCCACTTCTTAATCTCCCTAGTAATGTGATATCAAAGTTTTAGATCTTCATTCATTGTTTATTTATCAATAAACTAGGCAAATACAACTTAGATAGGGGCTACTTTAAGGTGGGTGCATAATTGGCTGAATAACTGTTCTCAAAGAGTAGTTAACAGTTCACAATCATGCTGGAACGGCATAACAAGTGGGGTTCTGAAGGGGTCTGTTTTGGGACCGGTTCTGTTCAAAATCTTCATCAACTATTTAGATATTGGCATAGAGAGTATGCTTATTAAAAGTTTGCAGATGATAAACTGGGAGGGACTGCAACTGCTTTGGAGGATAGGGTCATAATTCAATATGATCTGGACAAACTGAAGAAATGGCCTGAGGTAAATAGGATGAAGTTTAATAAGGACAAATGCAAAGTACTCCATGTGGGGAAGAACAATCAGCTTCACATATACAGAATGGGAAGCGACTGTCTAGGAAAGTGTACTGCAGAAAGCAATCAGGGGGTCATAATGAATGACAAGTTAAACATGAGTCAACCGTGGGACACGGTTGCAAAAAAAAGCAAACATGATTCTGGGATGCATTAACAGGAGTGTTGTTAGCAAGGCATGAGAAGTCATTCTTCCACTCTACTCTGTACTGATTAGGCCTCAATTGGAATATTGTGTCCAGTTCTGGGCACCACATTTCAAGAAAGATGTGGAGAAATTTGAGAAGGTCCAGAGAAGAGCAATAAGAATGATTAAAGGTCTAGAGAATATGATCTATGAGGGAAGATTGAAAGAAGTTGGCTTGTTTAGTTTAGAAAAGAGAAGATTGAGAGGGGACATGATAGTGGTTTTTAAGTACCTAAAAGAGAGTTACAAGGAGGAGGAAGAAAAATTGTTGTCCGTGGCCTCTGAGGACAGGACAATAAGCAATGGGCTTAAACTGCAGCAAGGGAGGTTTAGGTTGGACATTAGGAAAAACTTCCTAACTATCAGGGTGGTTAAACCCTAGAATAAATTGCCTAGGGAGGTTGTGGAATCTCCATCTCTGGAGATACTTAAGAGCAGGTTAGACAGACATCTATCAGGGATGGTTTAGACAGTGCTTGGTCCTGCCATGAGGACAGGGGACTGGACTTGACCTCTTGAGGTCCCTTCCAGTTCTACTGTTCTATGATTCGTAACTCAAAAGGTAGATTTTTAAAGTGCCCTGAGATGCATTAGTAAAAGACCATACAAAAATACGTGTACTAAAATTTTCCAATCACCTTAGTAATTATAAACATATTTGAGTAATACAGTTACTTACAATATTAGTGAGTTGTTCCTTGAAGCCAGAATAGAAGTTATCAATTGCCAACCTGCAAATCCTAGACTCCACCCTTTCTCTGGAATATGGATGAAAGGGGGTAGAAAACACACAATTGGGGTTAGTATAGGAAAACTGTATCTGTGCGTATCTGAGTATTTTCTTAAAGTAGCAAAATTTACAGATACTAACATTGGACTTTGAGTATAGCAGGCAGAGACAGACTTGTCAATTACTGACAACAGCCTAACTCTTCCCCTTGAAAAGTCTGCCAGTTGTGAGGACTTCTGCAGCCAAGAATTTTAGTTCATTCAGCCCTCCTCCCCCTTTTTCATATCCCTACTGCAGAGCTAAGGAAATAAAACATTTGGTTGTTTTTAAATTTTTTTTCCTTGTCCCAAGTTCACCTCTTTGGACGTTACTACTTGAAAAGAAAGTTTTCTATTCTTCAGTGAGGCAAAGCACACAGAAATTAGCACAGGGATAATAAGAGCAATGAGATTTTCTGGGCAGCAAGAAGCAATACCAATAATAAACTACATTTAGTGCTTCCCCTTTTCACTTTGTAACTTTCCTAGTGTAATAATATATCATGAATCACTCCTCTTTCTAAACGCAAATCCACACAAGCTTGCAAGTCTAATATGTAGACTTTAGCTAACTTGTGGGACGACCACCAGTGTTTTTCCATAAGTGCTAGGAATTAAAAAGTTATACGGTTAATTAATTAGGATAGATGTTTTATACTGAATAAACTCTTCAATTCTTATTAAGAGACCAAAATAACAGTCTGAGAACACAAAAGCCCCGATGAAAAGAAAAAACTGCATATTAAGGGAGCTTCAAAGCTGAATGTTTCAATCGAAATTCAGGCTATTCCTTAATTTAGGAATCTTATAAATAAACTGAGCCCATGAAATCTGCTTAACATACGATGATTCCAACCTCTCATGGGTCTTGATTTATCAATGTACAATCTTCAAGCTGATATTCAGATATATTGTGTTTAGAAACAGCTCCCCAATCAAAATAGTGAACTACAATGGCAATATTACTTATATTTGGGCAATACCAAATCTTTGAGATAATTTCCCGGGATCACATCTTATGTCCCACACTCTATTAGGATTGCCCCCACACAATACTGTGCTTCCTAATGCTCTATGATGTCTGGTTTTAAACAACCTAAATATATTGTCAACTTTGAATTTTCAGTCAAAGGAAAGCAATATATTTACTTGTAGTCTGCAGTTATCTTCTCAAACTCAGCCAGAACCACATCGAATTCTGTAATATCTTGGGAAAATCTTTTCAGCCCTTTTGGGCACCAAATCTTTAAAGAACATGGGCTATCATCAGCTGAAACAAAAATAACTAATTAAAATAAATATGCAATTAAAATTTAAAACATTTGTTTTAAAATAAATTAAATGTTCAACTGACTTTCATAGTAACCTAACAAGAGAGAATTTTCTAAAATGGTAATTATTTCACCTGTCTAAGATGCATGCCAGCTACCTATATCTGCTTATGCAAACTTTAAAGTAAAAAAACAAAGTGCGAAGGTAACATGTACATTTATTTCATAGCCTAGTGATATTCAGTAAGGGAACTTTAAGATGGTTATTTATGCCGAATCTAAGGTATATTTATGATAAAGTAAAATTTATTTTTAACTAACAACAAACATACTGAATGTCACTAACTCTGCTCACTAGTAAAGTACAAAATCCTGAAATATACAAGGTGAGATGCACATATTTTACTTTGCTAGAAAGACTATTATTATATTCAAGGCATTTCATATAAAGCTTAAAGTCTATAGTTTTTCTGAGACATATACAATGTTTTGGTATGAAGGACACAGACACATATATAAGATAAACCACTCCTGGCCTCCATGAGTAATACAGACCTCCCAAACTCAAGAAGATGAAGCTTTTATACCATACAATCGCATGTGCATTGCATGTTATGGAAAAGCTATTTTATGAATGTTTTAGAAAGTCCCTAAATAAAATAAATTTCAGTTTAGTTATCTCCATATATAAAGCCAAATACACGACTCCAACCGGGCAGGATCCAGAGGGAGTCAGAAAGACATCTGAAAACATCATCAAAGAGTTTGTTTATATTTAAAATGGTCAGTCTTGAAACCCAGTATCTCATGATGTTATAGTGCCAGTGAGTGCATGCTGAGTCCAACTATAAAAATCGCCCTATTCCAATTATATAAAGCTCCCATTTCTAACCCTACTAGACTGCACAATGCCAAATTATCAAAACCATTTTACGGAAAACCAATTAATGGCTAAGGAGGAAAAAATACCAGGAAGTTTAAAATTATGAAGAGAAAAGTATCGAATTCCTTTTACCAGAAGGATCTAATGCTCTCTTTTGAGGAGACTTCTTTGGTTTCACATGGGATTTAGCACGGTTTTGGGGCCTCTACAACACAAAATGCAGCAGATTAACTTCCAAGAACAATTATATTCAATCATTTAAAACCTGTAATACAATTACCTATTTTTAATTACAACCGTTGGTATTAAAATCTCACTGCTTGCTGTACATTAGTGTTAACAAGTGTGTAATCTAGATGTGCTCTGTGTAGAGCATCAGTTCCCAACCTTTTCCAGATGGGGACCCATTTTGACAATTCAGAAAGTCTTGGTGACCGAAGGCAATTCAAAAACGGGGGGAGGAGAGTGGAGGGGAGGCAGAGCTATCTGGGGAGACAATTGGCGACCCTTTTGAAATGTAATGGCAACCCATATTTGGGTCCCGATCCATAGGTTTGGGAAACCCTGGTGTAGAGTTTTAATACACACTGATAATGCTGCCAGTGAAAAAGAAGTGCCAGATTGCATTAGCATTCCCACTGTTGATATCACTGGTAAAGCTGTATTACTGGGAATATTATTGGGAGACCTTATTGAAGTTAATGTAGCTTTGGTGTTCACTGTATTAAATGAATGCATGACTTATTTTTGTGCACCAGGATGTATGTAACCTCTTGAGGGTGGAGATATATATGTCATGTCGGGGGGAAGAAAGGGGGGAGAGTCCCAAAGGACTATGCTGAACAAAGTGTCAAACAAGAATGGATTTTTTGAACAAAAAGTGTTAAATGGTTTTCCTGGGGACTCTCTGGGGACCTCTAGTTATGCAAAACAAACACCCCAAAAAACCCAGCCCTTTGAAGCTAAGTCCTCAGGAGTGGGTAATTGTCTGCAGATCACCTATTGTATGAGACTAGGATCAAAGGCCCAACTGAACTATTCATGATGGTTCTAAGAGTTACATACTCCTAACCAAAGGGATAATCCAGTTGTGTGTTTTTGAAGGACTGACACCAGCTAAGCCCAAGACTAGAGTTATGATGAGTTCTGGTAAGCTTTTCAACATGTTTGTAGTTCTTTTATTGTTTTCTGTGCAACTTTCACCTTAAGAGTAAATGTACTTCTTATACAGGCAATCCCCGGGTTACGTACAAGATATGGACTGTAGGTTTGTTCTTAAGTTGAATTTATACGTAAGTGGGAACTGGCGTCCAGATTCAGCCGCTGCTGAAACTGACCAGCGGCTGACTACAGGAAGCCCGAGGCAGAGTTTCTCTGCCCCGGGCTTCCTGGAATCAG